AGGTCACTGGCCAGGGCAAGGGCGTCCGCAAGGGAAAATCCCTCCAAGAGTGCGGAGCTCTTGGGGGTAGCCATGTTGAAAATGGCTAGCTAATTTGATGGTATGTGACTTCGCACAATCAGGAAAATTGGTAAAAAATAGAGGAAAATATGTTGCTTAAAAAAGGTTTGTTGTGTTAGTATATAGGGTACGTCGTAGTTCAAAGGGACATTGCGTACTCCGTCCCAGAGAACTGTAGGTTAATTGAAATATAATAAAGAAAAACTCTTACCTATTACAGCGGGGCTGAATAATGGTGGCCTTGGGTGGTTAATTGTCCAGTAACGGACAGGTTTTTGAACGCCTGGTTCGCTGGAAAGCTCTGGTCGTTTCGGTGATGTCAATCGGTGCAGTGCAGGTGATGTCAATCGGTGCGGTGCAGGTGATGTTCGTACAACGAAGGTCGAGCGCAGAGTGGCTAGTACTAAGGAAAGCATCGGTTATTTATACAAACCCCAGCACTAAGCAAGGGTTGGAAAAAGGTGGGGTTGGGGGTGGGGTAGGTAGAGAAAGGCGATAATAACGATAAAAACGAAATTGTCTAAAAAGTTACTTTCGTGGTGGAAAACTAAAAAGCAGATGACGAAAACGGTCAGATCATGCATGAAAAACTGAAGTTAGAGAAAAGAACGGTGATTGTTGGAAAAAGAATAGTAAAATAGAAAATAGAACACTTAGAAAAGGAAGAAAAAACTATGAGAAATAGATAAAAAAAATAGTAGGGAAAGGAACTATAACCAAGTAAGAAATAGGAAGGTTAGAAGTACAAAAAACAAATGAATAAAAAAAAAAAGGTAAATAAGTTAAATTTTAAGGTGGTTAAAGAAAATGGTTGTGTACAGATTCGGTTGTAGCACAGGGGTAGGCCAGGTAGGCGTCAAGGCAATTAGACTTGTTGTGGACAATCTTCGTCCCCGGGAAAGGCCGGTAATGCAGCAATTCTGAGAATAAATTTTGGAAATCGAGTAAATAGGCTGCTTACAAAAATGTTCATCAAAGTTCCATATTTTAATGATTACTTATTTTCAGTTGATTATGATTAAGTCGAAGATTCTGAATTTGAAGAAGATATACAAGATACTTTACCTTCTGACATTTTGCATGTACTTTACTCTATAAGTAAATAATGCAAATGCAAATTGTCAAAAATTTTGTTTAATATATAAATTTCCCGAAATTTTTCTCAATTTTGACAGCTTCTGAGAGCTCTTTTACTTCTACTTAGCCTTCCGACAATTTTTTCCCATATTCTCACATGCTCTTTAATACTTATACAAATTTTCAGCGGTGCCAGTTTTCTTGTCGGAAATTCTTCTCCACGTTTTGCCACCCACCCACACGTTTAACTTCCAGATTGCCTTCTGACGGTCAGGCTCTCGTTTTACCGGTAGAAATCGAACTTATACAAAGCAAGATAATTCGTGTACAAATGCATGTTGCTCGTTCTGTAACCAGCTCTCCGTCTATAGTAACTCTAGTCTCTAGTAACCTTTACCTTTCCATGGTATTCATGCTTGAGACTGACAATTAAATTTATACTATATAAAAGTTGTCTACATTTGTTTCGTGAACTTTTTATGACATTCTAACTACACTGTACAAGTTATACATATATCGGGTTGTTCGGAAAGCCATTTCGTTTTTTCCCGACAGAGGATTTAATTGTATTCTTTTGCACCCAACTTCACATTTAAGCCGTATAATTTTTATATGCTTTGAGAGCTCATATAGCAAGGCTTGTGTGTGAAAAATTCCAATTAATTCTACGCAGTAGTTTTTGGTTGGTGCCCTTTTAAATATGGAGAGCGATAAGCAGCATTTTCGACATATCTTACTATTTTACTACAGAAAGGGTAAAAATGCTGTTCAAGCCAGAAAGAAATTGACTGATGTGTATGGAGAAGGTGTGTTGACAGTACGCCAGTGCCAGAACTGGTTAGCTAAATTTCGATCCGGCAATTTTGATGTCGAAGATGCACCACGTTCGGGAAGGCCGGTTGAAGCTGATAAAGACGCGATAAAGGCATTGGTTGATGTGAACCGGCGAATAACAACACGTGAGATGGGATTGAGGTTAAATTTATCAAATTCAAGAGTTTATGACCACTTGAAAGGCCTGGGATTATCCTCGAAGCTCGATGTATGGGTTCCCCATGTTCTCACAGAGAGAAATCTGTGTCGCCGCATTGACGTCTGCGATTCGCTTCTCAAACGTCACGAAAATGATCCGTTTTTGAAGCGCATCATCACTGGGGACGAAAAATGGGTTGTATACAACAACGTCAAACGCAAGAGGTCATGGAGCAAAAAAGATGAACCGGCTCAAACCATTTCCAAAGCCGATATTCACCAAAAAAAGGTGATGCTGTCTGTTTGGTGGGATTTTAAAGGAATCGTTTTTTTTTGAGCTTTTACCGGATAACACAACGATTAATTCGTAAGTCTACTGTCATCAGCTGGACAAACTGAATGAAGCACTTCAACAGAAAAGGTGAAAACTAATCAACAGGAAAGGTGTAGTGTTTCACCAAGACAACGCGAGACCTCACACAAGTTTGGTCACTCGCCAAAAGCTTTTACAGCTTGAATGGGATACAATGATACACCCACCATATTGTCCAGACCTGGCACCATCGGATTATTATTTGTTCCGATCACTCCAAAATTTTTTAGACGGTAAAACCTTCACCTCAAATGAGGAGGTCAAAAACCTCCTCGATCAGTTTTTTGTCAGCAAAGACCAAAAATTTTATGAGCGTGGAATTATGCTACTACCAGAAAGTTGGCAAAAGGTGTTGGACCAGAACGGTCAATATATAATTTAATAAAGTATTTGTTTATTATACGAAAACTGTCTTTCATTTCCACAAAAAAAAACGAAATGACTTTCCGAACAACCCTATAAATATAATTGCAAAATATTAATATTGTAAGTTCGTCTCAAAGAAGAAACGGTTCGATGTGGTGTGTTTTATGTATATGCAAACATTACTGTGTATAACTAAATCTTGAGGGTGGTAAATGATAACTACATCAGTACCTGTATAATAAATGTTCTTTGTATGACTTTGAGTCAAGGTAAAAAGACAGATACATACATTCATTTCCTTTCGTACGGGCAGTCTTAGTGTACTTTCTAGATATAGATTTCACTATTCCGCTAGTGAGAAACCACTGCGGAAAGCATCTACTAGAGGATTACGTCTGTTTGGATATACACTCAAGATGTCAGTAGAGGATTTCACACGCATTCCCCAAAGAAAAAACCATATTTATCTTTTCATCATTACTCAAAGTCAGAGACTAGGCAGTTCAGAAATTAACAAGGTAAAAAACGAAACGTTATTCAGCACCTTCTTAAGCACAGGGAATTGAGATTTGTAACAGACAAAGGTGATGAAATGCAAATCGCCGATCAAGTCATACTTGATATTCTGATATAAATGGGTATTATAAAACAGTTGACAAGAAAATATGACATTCCATTTAAAAAAAATACTTGTGCCAGTTCGAAGCAATTTATCTTGTAAGTGGTAGATTTTAATGAATTTGAAAAGAACATCTTTGCGTTAATGGTGGAAATAGTAGATTATTTCTTCCACAAGATATGTGTGAAAATAGTACACATCTGTGTGCTTTTGTTTCGAAGATATTCAAAATGGCGCAGACCACTGTGACAGCCTATTTATTGATTTAGACTAGATTTTAGAGCGAATTTCATGGAAATTGACGCATTTTAGACATAATATATAGTTTATAAAGTGATGTTTAAATTTAACGAGGAAGACTAGATTTTAGAGCGAATTTCATGGAAATTGACGCATTTTAGACATAATATATAGTTTAGAAAGTGATGTTTAAATTTAACGAGGAATTTAAAAATTCAGTAATAAATTGGGAATTCCATTAAAAAAAAAATGAAGGTTGTCTTCAGGAAAAATGGGACACTGTATAATCGAAAAGAATACTTTTTAACTTCTTCTACTGTAAAGCAGTTATTCAATAAATCCGCTTGCTTGGGACATCCTGTATATACCATATATAGCCTTTCGTATATTTAGAATTTAAGATTTCCTTATTCAAAGCTGATGTAATAATTTTTGTCAGCAATTGTTAAGTACGTCTTTCAAATTTCATAATTAGGGCCAATTTGTTAAACTAAACATTAATTTTATTTAAATAAAAGATTATTTGCTGGTAAATTTTCTATGGTTGACTAACTTTTACATTATGATAGGTTTTAAGACCAATAACTTCAACCTCAATTTCGATAGGGGAAAACCGTATATTTCTTTTTGTAAAATCCTGCCTTTTAACAAAAATAATTTCTTTTAATTACAATGTTGTGTGATATTTTACGACCAATCGTTCTTAATGTAATCGGCCGCTTTTTCGGCTACAACCACAACGGTGGCAAAAATATTTGCAGCTACAATATTCGGAAAAGCGGATGCATCAGCAACTCTAACATTAGAAGTTCCGTAAACCTTCAATTGAGGATTAACAACGGCCAAATTATCAGTTTGAGGGCCCATTTTACACGTTCCAGTCAAGTGATTTTCGGGATAGGTGCTGTATTTGATGGCGCATTCCCAAAAGTCATCGGTACCAAATTTATGAAGCGTTGAGCAGTTTCCATATCGGCCCTGTACCAGTTCAGAACCGTACTTTTGCTTTAGGTCATGGACAGTTCCCATTTTAATGACTGTTCGTATTCCGGAAATTATAGCTTTAACATCGTAATCTTTTTCTAAATAATTAGGTTGTATAATCGGTTTCACAACAGGATCGTTTGAACGCAACTTAATGTAACCTTTGCTCTTTGGTCTTACCAACGTTACTTGAAAGGTAATCCTTCTGGTACCATTGGGCTGTTTAGGATTGGCTGGTAAACCGGGCGTACCACAGTCATAAGTACAATTGGCACTGTAACCACTAAAGTAAATCTGGATGTCCGGCCAATTTTTATTCCGATTTTCAGAAGATGATATACGAGAACCAAGTTGCGCGATTCCTGTTGACGACAAAGGGCCCTTCTGTAGCAGCAGATACTCCTTTAAGCTTTCCAAATTCAACAGATTAGTATCCCGAACTTTTTTTAAATTGAATTGTATAAACAACGAAACGTGATTTTGAAAATTTTGGCCGACACCTGGAAGATCATGAACCACGTCAACGTTCACATCTTCCAGATCGGCTTTTGGACCAATCCCGGACAAAAGAAGTAACTGGGGAGATCCAATAGTTCCACCTGTTACTATAACTTCCTTTTTAACATTGACATTGTAACGTTGACCCTTGTAATAAAATTCCACGGATCTAGCCACTGAGGACCCATTTTCTTTGATAAAGTGAATTTTTGTAGCTGTAGAATTCAACATTATATGAAGATTCGGTCGGAATCGTGCAGGACGAAGATAAGCTCGAGCTGTGCTGTCGCGGGTACCATTCCTAAACAATGAGTAAAATTAAGGTGCTGACAAAAACAAAACCTACTTAATCGAATAAAAAAATTCGAAGTGGTCTGTATTCTGTCGAAAGTGCCAGACGCGGATCGCGATTTCGATCTTTTTGGATCTCATCAGCACGTCGCAGGCAGCTCCGACAGAACACAGACCAACTTTTACCTGCTGTCTTAACAGTGCGTTTTAGAAAATGTAGCATCGTGCTACAGATGGTGTTTACTGCGCCATTTGTAGTATTTTCTAAAACCTACTTAATTGGTTTTTAGTTAATGTTGCAAAATTGGATGCTATGTCATAATTGGCTAGATATACGTGCTACTAACGAGGGCACCTTAATATCATTTTAATTGTTTAACAGCCTATTCTAGGGAAAGTTTTCAATATTCTTTAGGGTTCGTCAATCAATTTATGTTTTGAAAGACTTTTTTCATTACTGCTAAGGAAACCTGAGCCTCTAGCAGCTGCATTTGTTATATAGAATTAGGTCATACCTATTCTTCCAAATTTATTTCATACACAAAAAGTGAGCCAATAAGTCGCGGATGGAAGATTCATCAAATGGACTCATTTCTATTCTAAAATTATTTTTTATTTGTCTATTGTTTTATGTACTATCGCAATTTTTAATCGCTGGTTAAAAATTAACATTACATTGATAACCAAATACCTCGTCGAAATCGCACCGTTTCGATGTTATTTAGAATTTTTGAAAAAACAAAAAAAGAAAATGCTTGTAGCGTCTCAGGAAAAAGAGCATATCTTTGAAACGAAATAAGATAAAAAGACCCGAGTTCACCACTGTGTTAAGAAGTGTTTCTGTAGCGGTGACCTTTAGTTTGACCGGCGCAAAATAGAAAAGAACAGCACTAGACTACAAAAGAAAGGAGACAACTCTCAGCCAAACTCTTAACCGGTGAGGAGCGTATAATCCGTACAGTACTGGTCGAAAAAATTGACCATTTTATCCACTAAAATTGCATTGGCCAGATGTGCTGTTATTGGTACCAATTACTACTGAAAATATCAAGGAGATGTTTATTTATATTTGAAGACATGTTAAAGGCTTTAACGCTTGCTGCGACTTGCACTACTATTCATGATTGAACAAAACTTTTAGTAGAAACTGTATGAAAAAGTATGTTTAATGAACAGAGTCGAGAGTATAATGAGCTTTTTTCTCCCTACCTACGATTTTGCCAACGCCCATCCAAGACATTGGAAGGGGCACATCGCTAGAGAAAGTAAATGAAGTATACCTATCGTCTTATGTCCAAATTAGATTTATTTCGTTTTTATGGAAATGAAACAAAAATTTTTAATTTTTAAAGTATTATACATCTATTACTTCATTTTTTTTAATGGAACGGTGTGTTTTTTTGCCCTGCCAGATGAAAAATCCTATTTAATACTTAACGTTTTTTATAATTTTCGATACAGAAATGGTTTTTCACAGATTTTAACATGTTATCTCAATTTTAAAGTAATGTACATGTCACGGTAAAAGTAATAAACTGGTAATTATATATAATAACCGGTAATTATGAGTAATCACCACTAAATTTCGTAAATATGATAAATTTATCAAATTAGCCAGTTTGTTTGCATAATTCCCAACTGGTAGTGGTAAATAGGATAAATATCATAACTGGGCCAGTAGAACAGAGTACAGCTTTCTTTGTGTAGTTACCAATCAGAAAAACAATATGTGGTGGCCTATGATATATAAAATAGGCAATAATACGGTAGGATGTTTGAAGATGTATACATTTGTGATATCATTGGTTGGTTAACGGTAGATTTATGCCAGACTGGAGTTTCTTCACAAGCAGGCTGATATGTTGGAATAATAATACAAGGTTATTTTTGTTTCAGCATACACGACAATTACGACTTGGGAATTATGCAAATAAACCGATTAATTTGAAAAATTTGTAAAAATTTATCATATTTGCCAAATTTAGTGGTGCTTATGCATAATTACCGGTTATTATATATATTACCGGATTAACCACATGACATAGAAGAACATAATAATTATTCAAATTTATAGACTGGTCTATCTTTATGAAAAATAATATTGGAAACGAATAAATTATGCTTCAAGTTTCAACCATCTACTACAATTGTCCTAATTTAGGCTTGAAAATAATATTTTTAGTACCTATTTATACTTAAAAATCTAAAATTTACCTATATAATCATTTTCGGAAAATGTAAAATATTAGTAACCGTCAACGATTTAACAAAAAATTAAAACAATGACATTGAGGATAATAGTAATTTTTTTCTAAAACTATCAGTGAAAGTAAAAGATAACCAAAGCTTTCCTTACTTGCTCATAGTTTGCGAAATCGTAAATCCTTCGGTAACATCTGCGTTAAGATCACTGGGAGTCTTGTATCCAATGCTTCTGGCTGCTTTAAGAATATCATGGCTAATGTCAGGTGCACTAGGAAACCTTTCAACACTTATGGGGCCTCCAATTCCGTGGAATTCAGTACTTGTGTAAACACCAATATTACCATTGTCTTCCGATTTGCGAAAGTATGGCAAAACATCTTTGTAGCTCCATCCTGTATTGCCCAACTTAGCCCAGTGGTCGTAATCATTCGGTACACCTCGCATATACGTCATTCCATTAACAACCCCACACCCTCCAAGTATTTTCGCTCGTACATACCTACATTCACTGTTTTCGTTTTCATGACAGGCATTCTTTTGGGGTTCTGTGGGATAGTAGATGGTTGTTTCATTATTTGCCAAGAAATTGTAAGCAAAACTGGGTACTTGACTTCCTACAGGTTCATCGTTGCCCTGTTCTAAGAGGAGAACTTTCCAATGAGGGTTTTCAGTTAGTCTTCCAGCTAGTACTGGTCCGGCGCCACCACCCCCTATTACTATAAAGTCGTACTCGTTATCGGGTTGCAATGTTGGCGTTATTCTTCCACAGACGTCCGAAATGGCACAGTCATCTCGAAGTAAAGTATTTACAAGAGTCATAAACATAACCGACGATGCTGCATTGCACGTACCGTTTTGAAGGGGGAGACCATAAAATGGGTTTGTACAGTTGCAAGCCATCGCTGTAAACTGTTTGTACCTTTGTTACCTTCGCATTTTATCTTTATAAATTATTTGTGCAAATATTGTTACGTTAATTTTGAATATTCAGGATACTCGAAATGCCTTTTCACATATTTTAACATATCACTTCTACTTTATACGAATGCGATAAATAATTATTCATGCTTAAAAGAGAAAATATGTAGAATTGTTTGTTTCCTTGAAAAATAAAATTAAAAGGGAACCAATCATATCGTCTAAATATATATATTTTTCAGCTAATTGATAACGAAACCATGCATTAGTGTGGATATATATTACGAATCCATGAAGGTAAAATCTTTCAAAAAAATTTTGTTACCAACTTGTTTGAAGTTGTTTCTCTAATGGAATATTTTGAATACAAAATAACTGGTTAAATTAGGGGTGACATTGTAATTGTACCCAGTACTATTGTTATTACTATTACTTGGAAACACCAATCCCTTTTTTATTTACATTGTGTGAAGATTACTTCTGCAAGCAATCAGAGTAGTTAAATTAAAGTAAAAACGGGTTCTTTAATTTAATTTTTCTCTCTTTACTACTCATTTATCAGTTTATTAAAAGATATTCTTTTATTACTAACCTGCAGGTGCTCTATAAACTTTACGGTTTCATTATCTAAAATATATTTGTACGTATTCCTTTCCTACAGGATTAACATTTGTACTTATCTAATACAATATGATATATAAAAAAAATGTTTGTAAAATACCTATCATTAGAATTCATTCTTTTATCGGTACTTTACAAATGTTTTTTTAAAATGTATGTTTTCCTTTACGATTTACTTGTAGTAATTTTGCATGCTTTAGACGTCACTTAAGCACTGCGCACATGATAAGAAATTCATGTAACTTCAAATATTTCCTGGTAAAGTAAAACAAATCAATAAGCATGATAATTATAATTGTAGTTATTTGAGATATTGATCATTACGCAATTTCAATAAACGTAAGCATGTATATTTTAAGTTTAAATTTAGCTTTCATGTTATAGTTATTTTGGATGTAAATATATATATATACTAGCTGAAACGGCCGCGTGTTGCTGTGGCTAACGTTTTTGTCATATTACATTGTTGTAAACTATTTAAGGGGAACGGTAGAAGAACATCAGACATGGGCACCACCATGCTTCTTTACATAGATGCATGCCATCATCATCATCATAGGGCCGTCAGTCCCAAGACTGGTTGGACACGTACCTCCACTCCTTCCTATCCTGAGCTAAACTTCGCATTTCCCTAAAACTAGAACAACCAACATCCTTAACTATTTGCGAAGAGTAATCTAATCTAGGTCTACCTCTACCCCTCATAACTCCTGTTTCTGCCTCTAATATGTCTCTGACTAGACCTTCATGTCTGAGAAGGTGTCCTACCAACCTATCTCGTCTATTTTGTATAGACTTCCATAGTGTCCTCTGTTCTCCTATTCTTTCCAATACCTCTTCATTTCTAACCTTTTCTACCGACGATATCCTTATCATCCGCCTATAACACCACATTTCGAACGGTTCGAACCTTTTCTTTTTCGCCGCTCCCACTGTTCACGTTTCGCACCCGAATTTCGAATTTCTAAATTAACCGTTCGCGAGCATAGAAGTGACTTCTTTTTATTAAAGGCGACACGACCCTGCGCTATCCTCTGCTTTATATCCCTACTACTCCTTCCATCCT